TAATAAAATTGGCAGGATTGAACATTTAAATAACATCATCTCTAAAAATGCAGCCACACATTATGATAGTTTGGGAAGTCACTGAGGGTTCTCCTTAGGATCTGTGACATCCCCTACCTTTTCTTTCCTTTGGACTCCTGAAATAACTGTTCATGTTTGAGCCACTCCCATTTGCCCTTCTACGTCCTACCTTGAAAACCTGAACCTTAAATTCTTGAAGACTAGAAACATTGATCATTATCAAGAGTTTTCTCAAATGACTCCCGTCATTTGGGATGTAATTAACTATAGGGGCTTGCCTCTATAGGGAACTTGGAACCCAGATAAAATAAACCCTATTTAATCTTTGTATTAAATAGGGGAACTTGTCGGTCATATATAAAAGGTTCGCAGACTAAACGGATGTCACAAATCTCTTAGTTTGTTGGATTGGGTCTATTGCCGAGGTCTACACTTATCTTTCGGGAGGGTGTAGTATTCGCGGTATCAGACACGATTATGCAAACTATTGGACGAATGAGATCCATTTGGTCTCATTTTTCAAAAACTAAAACACACTACTTTCAAAACTCAAACTATATATCTTTTATATTTAAATTAAATCTCAAAAATTATTTTCATATATCATATTTTTCAAATAAATCTAATCAATCGAAAAAGTTGACCGACACCTTAACAACACTTTTTTGCATGCTAATGACATCAATGTCGCTCAATGAGCACATCGACTTTTTCTCGAAGCTATCACCTAGCACGATTTTGTGCAAGAAATAAATCACCTCCTGCATTCAGTGCAAAGATTAACAGGGCGATCAGAAACCTTATGTCTAAGGATCGATGATAGAGAGATGATTTTCAGATGTCATGGGACCAGAAATCAGTGCACAAGGTTTTTATTTAAACTGGCCAAAGATAAAAAAAAACTTTTCAGTGATGTGTATGCATCGTTTTGGTAATTTATAATATTTTTTAAATTTTGTTTAAATCTATGCCAGAAGAAAAGCTGTTAAGATATCTTGTTTGATAATGAAAAGTTTGATTTTGCCTGAATTAGTGTCCATAATTTTGATGGGCATAGGCTGCCTTTTCATTGAAGAAAGATTTTACGCTAGAGACAACATATAAGGCTAGCTTTGGTGAGGTGTGAATATGGAGAGATAGAAAGAGTAAATATTTAAGTTTTGGGATGTGTGACTTTGCATTAGAGATGATCTTGCATGCATCCAATCGGCAGCGAAAAGTTGTGCTTAAATTTTAAATGGTCTTACATAAAAAGACTAATTCTGTGCTTATCGCCTATCATAGTGATGATTATTAGTATTTTCTTTAAATTAATGAGAATGGTAACGATCAAAATCGAGTGATCCGATAGTCTCATGAAATAATTAAACTTTTTTATAATTTTTTATTTGATTCAATTGATTCATTTTGAGTAGGAAAAACTCATAATTCCAAGCAAGTTTGAATCTTTTTTTTAGGCTAGCTCAAAATTATCAGCCACTTAATATTATTTTGATCAGTATGTGTTATAAGATATAATTGACATATTAATATTAACGCATAAATCTAGTAACACTCTCTATGCTGGTTTACATTTTTTGTAACATGAATCATATATGAACTGATGAGATTTAAGACTGGAGACTTATCAGTAATTTGTCGTACGTGGAGACATTCATATGATATAGAAACTAGGTAACCACTGAAGTAATTTTTTATGCGCATTTAAAGTCAGAAGGTGTCGATACTTGGTTTAGATATGCTAAACTACACGCTTAGATTGATAATATTTGACAGCTGCTTGTTTTATTTTTTGTTTTCTGATATCAGAAAGATTATTCACAGATTTAAATATGCCATTGTTGTCAACCAATCTAAATCTTTATGCACTAAATCTTTATGCAAAAAAAAAAAAAAAGTTAGTTGCCTCGCTCCTCATTTTCCACATCTATTTTGTTATCAGTGGACAAATTTTAAGTTTTTATGGTTTTGCTGCTGCACAATTTCTAGCCTCATCATGGTTTTATGAGAAAATGAGTTTTTCCTTGCTTGAGTTTTCCTGTACTGGGAATTATCTTCTCAGTTATATTTAACATTTTTAATTTAGAAAAGTGTCAAACTTGTCCCCTAACTATTTGCAGGGAGTTATTTTAGTTCCGGAGCCTATAAAAGTGTCAATTCAGTCCCCAAACTCTTTTAGTATGTGCTGAAATATTCTCCATGGATAACTATTTCAGCTCAAATTTAAAGATTCTGAGGATTTTTTTGATATTTTTATAGACTCTGAGACTAAAATGACCCCATATAAATATTTGAAGGGTTTTTTAGACGTTTTTTTTTTAATTACACTTATCGCTGATTTAATTTGTGTTCTAGGATGTTGAACCATCGGCTCCTGTTGAGAAGGAAGAGGAGTGCTGCCATTCTTTCATTCTCAAGGATGACCTGGGAATTGTTTGCAGAGTATGTGGAGTCGTTCATAAGAGCATTGAGACGATTTTTGATTTCCAATGGGCAAAGGTACTATGATCTGGTGTTATATTTTAAGGATATCTTATTTTCTACGTGTTATGCAGTTTTTGTTTTACTAATATTACTAGGTGTATTGCACTGACTAATCCTTAAATATTGCTTATGTATTCTATGACCGTATTTTATTTTATTTTAGGGGCATTTACATATATAGCATACAATTCTTATGCATTTACATATCTCACACCTAAACTTTCATATTTACACACATATCACTCAAATCTTTAATATCACATTTACATACATAGATGTGAGATATGTAAATACATAAGAATTGTATGCTATGCAGGTAAATTTTCCTATATTTTATTTACTTTTTCAGACTGTTAGGTGCTGGATGTGTCAGATTTTGCTTGGTATATTAACTTATTATCCCTTCTCTAATATAGTTCCATAAAACAGTTTAACTTATTATCCCTTCTCTAACATAGTTCCATAAAACCCTTATGTAAATCCATAAATCTTTCCATTTTGCAAACTATCATTTTATGATTTATCAAAAATTAGTATTATGATAGGATCTTGGAATATAGATACTCTCACAGGTAAACTAAGGGAATTAGTTGATATTATGGTTCATAAGAAGATAAATATCTTATGTATTCAAGGGACTAAATGGGTTGAAGAAAAGACTAAAGAGTTTGATAGCTTAGGTTTTAAACTTTTGTATTCAGGCAGGGGTCGTACTAGAAATGGTGTAGGTGTGATTATATATAAGAGTTTGAAAGATAATGTTTTAAAAATTAATTGAATTAGAGATAAAATTATAGTTCTTAAGATTGTTGTTGATACTAAGATTTTTAATGTTATAAGTGTTCATACCCCTGAAGTAAGTTTAGATAGGGGTTCGAAAGAAAAATTATGGAATGACCTATAAGAATTAATAAAAATGATATCTCTTGAAGAAAAAATTTTTATTGGAGAAGATTTAAATGAACGTGTAGCTAGAGTGATAGAAGATTTTAGAAATATTTATGGTGGCTACGGTTTTGGAGTGATTAATGAAGAAAATAGGGCCTTGTTAGATTTTCTTAATGTGTGATTTTGTTATTGTTAATACTTAATTTAAGAAAAGAGATGAGTATATTATTACTTATAAGAATGCATCTAATAAAACACAAATTGATTATTTTCTTATGAGAAAAAGAGATCATTGAAAATGTAAAAATTGTAAGGTAATTTCAAATGAAAATTTAAGTACTCAACATCGATTATTAGTTCTAGATTTTAAGATGAAGAGTCATAAGATAAATAATACAAGAAAGCTTTGCATATAATTAGATTGTGGTATCTAAAAGATACAAATAAAACTATTGTTATGAGTAAACTTCAAGATTTCAAGATTTGAGATGTTCATGAAGAAACAAATTCTACGTGGGATAAACTAACAAACACGATCAAACAAGTGACATAAGATGTACTTGGAGAATCAAAAGGAAAATTTATTATAAATAAAATTAGTTGGTGGTGAAATAATAATGTGTAAGACAAGATAAAATATAAAAATTTGTGTTATAAAAATTGGTTTAAATATAAAAACTTAGAGAACTGGAAAAAATATAAGGTGGGCATAAGGAGTCTTAAAAAGCAATTTGTGATGCTAAAAATTTTGTTTTTAGTAATATTTGTAATAGATTAGGTACTAAAGATGTTGAAAAATATATGTATAAACTAGCTAACAAAGAGAAAAGACAAGTAAAAATTTAATTCAAGTAAAATGTATTAAAGATGAAAAAAAAAAATAAGAGGAAGATATTCAACATGGATGTGGGAGCTATTTTGATAAAATTTTTAATGAAGTTTATGAAAATACGATCGACCTTAATGATCTTAATATCGTTAATAATAATAAAATGTTTTATTTTACCATCACATTAATTAAAAAGAAGTTGAGGTGGCTTGGAAAATCATTAGGACCCGATGATATCCCAATTGAAGTGTGGAAATATTTAGGAGATGTGGGAGTTTCTTGGCGTATTAAACCTTTTAATATTATTGTAATAGCTAAAAAGATGGCTAATGAGTAGAGGAAGAGTATTTTCGTCCCCCTTTTTAAGAATAAAGGGAAAGGGGATGCACGAGCGTGCTAATTATAGATGAATTAAATTGATGTGTTATACTTTAAAATTATGAGATATGCAATTTTAGTAATAGTAGCTATAGTGGCAGAGTTGTAACTATGGGCGATTAAATCATTAAAAGATGTTAACATTTTAGATATATTGGGTCTATTGTTCAAATTGATGGGTGATATAGATGGGGATGTTATTAGAAGAATCCAAGTTGGTTGCTTGAAATTGAGAAATGCATCGAGCCTATTGGGTAATAAAAACGTACCGCTTAGACTTGAAGGAAAATTTTATAAGGTGCTGGTGAAACCTGCAATACTCTATGACACAGAATGTTGTCTTTTAAAAGAGAAGCATAAAACAAAGTTGCTGCGATGAGAATGCTTAGGTGGATGAGATGCTTGCAACTCAAACAAATTGCGAAATGAATTTGTTGGTGATAGGGTGGGTGTAGCTCCAGTTGCATACAAGATTAGAAAGAGTCATCTTATATGGTTTGGTCACATTACACTTCGACCATATGATGATTTAGTTAGGAGAGTAAATGTTTCAGATTCAACTTATTTTAAGAAAGGCAGAGTTAGATATATAAAGACTTAGGTTTATTGTATACATAATGATCTTAATCTATTAGAATTAAATGAAAATATGACACTCAATAGGACGCAATGGAGAAAAAATATTCATGTAGCCGACCCCACTTAGTAGGATAAAGGCTTGTTGTTGTTGTTGGTTTCATATTAGAAGAGAGACACATGAAATACAATGAAGGGATAACTGAAATTGTAGGGAGGGATCAGAGCGAATTGAGACAATTTGGATTGAAATTATTAACACTTGAATCGAAATTATTATTTTTTTAAAAAAAGGCAACTTGGATCAAAGCCTTAAATACTTTGTACACAAATTTTGAGGAAAATTCACCTATACAAGTTGAATATGAGAAACACAACCCCCTTGACGTGCACATCAATCTTAGAGATTGGGGCCTATGATATCTCAAAGTGGATTTCAATATATTATAGTTTATTAATATGGCAAATGCCTTAACCCACACACACACATGAACACACCATCATAGGATTGATATTTCCATGATAAATAACAATACTTCGAAAGGTGTTTTACCTATAGTTCTACTTATTATAATATTAAATGTGAATTCAGTATTCATTTAGGTATGCTCCATTTATTCAAAAAATGTTTTCACTCAAAATGAAGTACGCCACCAAAGCTTCTATTAGCAACTTATTTTTATTATATGCTTTAGGATTGAAAGTTGAAGGTAAGTAAAGGGCGATGCCAAAGAAGTTTTCATAGTTGAAATATTTAAGAAAGATTCACATCCATATCATGTAATTCCTATGTATTTACATAACTAACCCCTAACCTTTATTTTTTATATATATGTCACTTGACCTATGCATTAAAAGGTGTATTTCACATTTTAAAAGCTAAAAGTTAAAATATTGATATTTTTTATGTAATAATAAATATTTGGGTGGTATACCTGTAAAAAGTAAATTTTAGGTATTAGATATGTAAATACATAAAAATTGTGTGGTATGTATGTATTGAATCCGAGATTGTCCTGTGAATTATACCCAAGGAATAAAGCATAGTTCACAGGACGGGAGGAAGAGAGAAAGCGAGAGAAAGAGTGATCTAATGAACAGTAAAATGAGGGAATTGTGTAATCTTTTATTCATGAAATGATCTTCTATTTATAGATAAAAGGGGTACAAGAGTTGAAGTCACATTTATGCCCCTATTAAAATAGAATATGTACATGTTATAATAGGAATTATACTCCCGTGAGCCCAAGGCCTTGCTGCTCTTCAACTCGGTCATTTCGGCTGACAAGGTGAGACGAGTAATATCGTCTGTCGGCCTGTTAGATAGGGACCATCAGTCGGTTGTCCCTTCAGGTAAGAGCGGTCGCCTGGTTATTTGAAGATGGTCAGCAAGACTGATCTAGTCAGTTGACACTAGCCGGCCAAATGTATTGATCCAGTCGTCAACCCTTAATTATTGTCGAGGGGATTTCTGCAGGCCGAGTAAAATTAGGCCATCGGGCATAGGATGGGTCATCATAACCCGACGGGTAGTTTACCCATTGCGCAAGAAGATCCCGTTGAATGTGGTTGAGGTTTATTACTCCATGATGTCTCGAGGGAATCTTTGGTTGTCCCTAGCATCAAGATTTCATCTGGACGTGCATTGGTAAATTGGTTCATGCGATCTCTGGCTAGCTCTGGTTGTTTTCCAGAGGGCGCAACTTTGCCACATCATTCTTTCTTAGACGTCGGATTGCTTCGAGATTTGTGCATACATATTTTCTGTGCACAACATGTAAGGCCCCAATAGTTAATGCATTGAAAATTATGATAATGAAAAAGGGGATAAGATGGGCCTTGTAGATGGACCATCTCGTTGAAGAATAACTTTACTGTACGAGAAGCACGAGTTTCCTTGCACTGCAAAACAAAGTGGGTTATTTTAGAATATTGTTTGACAACTATTAAAATCGAGTCATATCAAAGAGTAGTTTAAGGTGAACAACAGATAATGAACACTTATGTCGTTAGGGTGCATAACAATTGGCATGGTGTAATAATGGCTTCTTTAGGGACATTTACATGCTCACGACCCAATTCCTATGTATTGACATATCTAACACCTGCACTTTAATTTTTACATTTTTACCGCCCAATTCTTTTATATCACATCAAAAATACCACTTTCAAAAAGTGAAATACAAAGTGAAATACACCTTTTTCATGTATAGGCAAGGTGGTATGAATGTCAAAATTAAAGTTTAGGTGTTAGATATGTGAATGCATAAGAATTGGGTGGTATGTATGTTAAGTCTTTCCTTCAATTATCACTTGAATAAGCCGCAAGGCTGCCTTCCTAATGAAATGCCACCCATACCCATCCAAGATACATTACAAGCATAATAAGATGTAAGCATATGTTGATATAAGTAATCAATTCCATAAGGAAATCAAAGCTTAAAAGTTAGACCTGCTACTTTGAAAAAAAAAAAATTGAATTAAATAAGAGACTGAGTTGAGGTAGTATCGGTTATAGATTAGGGTTAGTGAAATTTCTGTATTTGAATAAGCCACGAGTTTGCCTTCCTATTGAAAGTGCAATATTTGCATTGGTTTGCTGCATTTTGATTCATAATACTTGCTAGATCCGATTTTAAAAAATACCATGAAGTCTTGATAATGCAACAGCTGTAAAATGAAGTAAATCAGTCAGATTACTTGTATTTTTTCTGATTTGAAATTGCCAGACTGATAAAAGAACTTTGCTTTTGCACAACATTCTGTTAATAACTTTTATAAATCATGACTTCTATCATATTATTATAAAATCTGTTTTCTGCATTATTTAATCATATTTGTTATGTCAATGCAACATGGTAATGAAGAATCTCAAAAATACAAATTAACTTACATACTCCGTATCATTAATCCTTGTCACTCAAGTTCAAGTTAGGTTTTGGTTTTGCATATCAAATCACTGATTTTATAATGCATCTTTAGTTATTTTAGATTGCTAAAATAAATATCTTACATCGCTTTTCACCATTATTTCTTCTCTTTCTCTACATATTTTCATTAACAGTACAGTAAAACCATACAATTAATTTTCTTTGAATAAGCAGACCACCCGAGATGCGAGGTACTACGGGTCTGGAACGCGAAAACATGAAGATATGGATGAAGCAGTTGATGCTTCTAATCCAAACTATCCTGAAGAAGACACCGCCACCGATCTTGGCATCGATCCGCAGCATCGGAAACTGATGAAACCACATCAAATTGAGGGTTTCAGGTTCCTTGTCAAAAACCTAATGGTCGAAAAACCGGGCGGATGCATCCTCGCTCACGCCCCTGGATCTGGAAAAACCTTCATGCTTATAAGCTTTATGCAGAGCTTTATCACTCAGAAACCCAACAAAAGACCCTTAGTTGTTCTTCCTAAGGGAATCTTAGCCACATGGAAAAGAGAGTTCCAGCTTTGGCAGTCTGAAGACATACCATTATTCGATTTTTATTCCTCTAAAGCAGATCATAGATCACAGCAGCTGGATATCTTGAAGAACTGGGAGCAAAGCAGAGGCATCTTATTTTTGGGCTACAAGCAGTTCACTAACATTGTTAGCAGCACATCCACTGAAAAGATTGATGCTTTATGTCGCGAAAAATTGCTTATGGTTCCGGGCCTCGTAATTCTAGATGAGGGACACACCCCAAGGAATAACAACACCGCTCTCGTCCAATCACTTTCGAGGATCAAGACCCCTCGAAAGGTAGTACTTTCAGGCACACTTTTCCAAAATCATGTTAAGGAAGTCTTCAATATTCTCAAGCTCGTTCGTCCCAAATTCATGAAGGAGGAGTCGTCTCGGAATGTCATGAAGCGAATCCTAAGCAGCGTAGAGATATCTGCTGGTAGGCGCCCGACAAAGGGTTGCAGGGAGTCCGCTTTCTGCGATCTCATCCACGAAACTCTTCAAAATGATGATAATCGTTTACGAAAAAATTTAGTAATTAAGGACCTGAGAGAAATGACCCACAATGTTCTTCACTACTACAAAGGTGATTTCTTGGATGAACTTCCTGGATTGGTTGACTTCACCGTATTCCTGAAACTAACTTCTAAGCAAAAAAATATCATGACTAAACTTCACAAACTCGATATTTTCAAGGGAAACTCTGTGGGTAGTGCGGTATATTTGCATCCATGCTTGAAGGAGGTTGCTGAAAGTTTTGATGGCGATAAAACTGAGTCATTAAGTAATGATAAAGTTGATGGTTTAATAGGATCATTAAACGTGAGGGATGGAGTGAAGACCAAGTTTTTTCTTCGTGTTCTTTCCTTATCCGAATCTGCCGGGGAGAGACTCCTTGTATTTAGTCGGTACATTCTCCCTCTGAAATTCTTGGAAAGATTGGTTATTCAAAAGAAGGGCTGGCGCTTGGGGAAGGAAGTTTTTATGATTTCAGGCGATTCTAACCCCGAGGATAGGGAATGGTCTATGGAACAATTCAATAATTCAGCAGATGCCCGAGTTCTTTTTGGTTCTATAAAGGCCTGTGGAGAGGGCATTTCGTTAATCGGAGCGTCCAGGATATTAATCCTAGATGTGCATCTCAATCCTTCCGTCACTCGTCAGGCAATTGGTCGAGCTTTTCGACCCGGCCAACAGAGGAAGGTGTATACCTACAGGCTGGTGGCCGCGGATAGCCCGGAGGAGGAGCACCATAGTACATCCTTCAAGAAGGAGGTTATTTCAAAGCTGTGGTTTGAGTACAACGATTACGGTAGTCACCAGGAGATTGATCTTCATGAGGTTGAACTTACAGATGCTGAAGATATTTTCCTTGAAAATCCCGCTTTAATTGAAGATATCAAATGTCTGTACAAAAGGCAAGCAATTTTAACACATTTCAATTAATGTCTATGTGATGATGATGATGGTGTTTCATTTTTGACTCTAAATTAATACTTTCCTATTTGCAGGTGATTCTCTATGCTTAATAAAGATGTCATATTTTGGAGAAGCAACTTATTAGTTGGGGATTGCTTGTATATGTGATACTTTTGCTTCTGGCATCTGGTAACTCTTGTTCACTACCATCAGATCTCTTGATAGTCGTTATATCTTAGCAGGCGGTTGTGAGAACCGGCACTTTTCGATCTTTTTACGTGCGCTACTTTAGTGAGTTCTACGCTGTAGCGCACTGTCTTGTAAGTCTACAGTTCAAAACATAAACATGCTGTTGTAGGCCTATTATGAATCCTTAGAACATCATTTCAATGCATGCTTTGTTATCTCTTTTACTTTTCTCTTATGCTAAGTGCCAAATTGTCCTACTCATTTGCATGAAAATACTAGCACATAGTTTTCTCTTTTATTTCTTCTCTTAGTTTTTTCACATTTACCTTCTAATGGTATAAAGCAATTGTGGCACTGCAAGAACACACGAACATTTCCAAAGATTGGATCAAGTGAATTGCATTTTGAGAATTTAAGGTGGAGTTTGGTAGCACAGAATTAATAGGATTTATGAATAATTTTAACGTAAATCCTCACCCAAAAGCGAAAAAATGTGAAATAAATCCGACAGTTTGCTAAATCTAAATTTCTCTCCATCCGTTAATTTTTCTGATGTAAATCCGGATTTACTAAATCTGTTTTTAGGTTGATTTAAGGGATACAAAAAAATTAAATCTTGATAAAATGTTGAAAATAAAAGATAAATTTAAGTGGATTTAAGTTAAATCATACCAAACATCCTCTTGAAATTAACACAGCCGAATTTTATAAATTCAGATTTACCAGATTTACTAAAGCCTGCTTAACCTAGATCTCACCTGCAGCCAACACTCCCTAAAAGTGACATAGTTGGTGAACTCGCCAAGTTCTGACTTTTAGTCAAATTCTTTTGAGGATAAAAGATAAGAGGCATTTACATACACATCACACAATTTTTATGCATTTACACATCTAACAGCTGAAAATTCATATTTACATACATACCACTCAAATCTCTTAACATCACATCAAAAATACCAACCATCACTATCTTTTTAAGAGCGAAATGCACATTTTCATGCATAGATTCATAACACCAAAGTGATACAAGCATAAATGTCAAGCTCTGCCTGTTAGATATGCAAATACATAAGAAATCATATGACATGTATGTAAATTTCCCTAAAAGATAAAACACTATCGAATACAATAATGCCAGCATGCCGCCGCCGCCGCTGTGGTTTTTAATTACAAGTCGTCGCATATCAAGTGCTTACCACGTTATCAGCCCATAGGGAAGTTAGGTTGCTATGCGCTCCATACGCCTCAGGTGGCGCGCACGTTCTGCTCGCTTCGCCATTATATACCTAATGCTGGCTCTCGCAAATTCACTACCAGCAGCCATTATTGCTATATTGTGAGGGAGAGAGAGATGGCGAGCTGCTGGGTGGGTGCGATTATGGTTTTGTTAGGGTTTGCTGCAGCTGCTGTTGCGTCGGCCGGCGGGGAGCTGTGGAAGGGTGAAGATTTGAAGAGCGTTCACGTTGCCGGGAAGGTTCTCTGCCAGGATTGCTCTCAGGGTTGGAATTATTGGGCCCATGCGGCCCAACCTGTTAAAGGTTTGCTTCACATATTTGTAATATTCATATTAGGGTTGTTGAGGATCTGATTTCGTGCAGAGTTGGGGTTCGTATATTTGATTTTGAGCCTGCTCGGTTTGAAATTGAATCGAGCTCGGTCCATCTAGCTCAAAATAGAAACGAGTTGGCTCAAATCAAGTTAATTGGATTCGTTTCAGTTCGACGTGGTTTGTTTAGCTGCATTTTATTTAGCATTATAAATATAAATTTTATAAAGTAAAATATTTTTGAGCGATCTCGAACTAGTTGGAGCTGATCATTTTATTTAGCATTATAAATATAAATTTTATAAAGAAAAATATTTTGAGCGATCTCGAACTAGTTGGAGCTGATCTGTGTATTTGGAGCTGATCGGCTTGAAATAGGCTAAAAAAATCTTGATCCGGACTAACAACACCCTATCTACATGTTGGGAAATTTATATATATGGCGTGCAATTGTCAACTCTTATATATATGACATGCAATTGTCAACTATTTACATATTAACACAAAAAAATTATATTTTTTTCATTTATGTCACCTAAATCTTTCGAAGAATATAAAAAACTATCATTAAAACTTTTAAAAATTGAAATATATAGATTCGTGCATTGTTAAAAGTGGTATGTACGTAAAAATTGAAGTTTGGGTGTTAGACATGTAAACACATAGGGATTGAGTGGTATGCATCTGAATCTACACATACCACGTGTATCTAATTCTTCTATATTTATATATTTATAATCCAACGTTTGATAAATATATTTATTACTTTGGTGGCATAAACTTATGAATGAAGATTATATAGATATAAATATATATATCATATTTTTATTATCACATAAAAAGAACAATTTTTACACATCATTTGCTCAAAATATTAAATATAATATTTTAGTTATTCAAAATTTAGAAATAATTTTTAACCACTTTTTAATTCAGTTTTCTTTTATCTACTAATGAAAATTTTTAGCTTAAAAATATTATATTTTAAATTTAAATGATTAATATGTTATATTTGATATTTCAAGTGATTGTAATGTAAAAACACTTGTTTATAATGATACCTTTCAATTAAGCGAGTAAATATTTCGTCTGAATGGCCAACCATCGGACGTCACATAGTCGTACACTTCTTCGGCGAGCGACGTGATGTCCGGTAGTTGGTCATACGAACATGCGGATGTACGAATGGAATATTTTTTTCCAATTAAGCCACTAACAAATATTACATGAGATATCTCTCTTCTAAGAAATTTACTTATGATTATGATTGTTTAAGGTGGCAAAGTAGCGGTGACCTGCACAGACGCGCGGCGGCGAGTGGTTTACTACGGCAGCGACGAGACTGACGATAAGGGCAACTTCGACTTACCGGTCGGACCCGCTACTCCGGCGATGCAGCAAAACGTATTCGGCCGGAGGGATGCTCCGTCCGCCTCCTCTCATCGCCGGACTCCGCCTGCAACGTCCTCACGGCGGACTTCGCCGGCGGTCGTTCCGGCATGCGGCTCGTCCGGCCCTCGCACGTGTACCCGGGGAGGATAAAGTACACGGTGGGGCCCTTTTTCTTCACATCTCCCATGTGCGAGGAGCCCGACACGCACGAATGAGATCGAGCTTTGTTTTTCGTTTTTTCACTTTTATTTTGGGAAATTTACATGCATACCATCCAACTATTATGTATTTACTTATCTCACACCTAGATTTTGATTTCTATATGATAAGCATCTTAACCTATGTATGAAAAGGTGGATTATATCATTTACACATTTTCATATATAGTAAAATGTGCTTACGATGTAAAAATCAAAGTTTAGGTGTGAGATAGGCCTAATTTTTCTGTGCGAACTCCTGACGTAGCTCTACGTGCGGCGAAGGGTATTCCTGAGTTATTTTCAGGTTATTTTCAATAATCCTGAAATAACCCAGAAATAACCTGTGATCTTTATTTTTGAGTTATTTCGGAATTATTGAAAATAACCCAGAAATAACCTAAAAATAACTCAGGAATAATTTTGGCCGCACGTAGAGACGTCAGGAATCCGAACAGAAAAATACGCTCGTGAGATAGGTAAATGCATAAAAAATAGGTGTTATGTATGTAAATTCTCTTTTTTATTTATAATTAATTTATGTGTCTTTATTTAATTTTGCTTTTGATTTTGTTAATGGGGGTTGTATTGAATGCATTCCAGAGAAGAAGAAAATTTAACTTTTCTATCGTGTGTCACATCGAAATCATGATATTGTGTACAATATATTTTTTGAGTCTAAACTGTGAGCTCGCTCAGGTTGGTTACGATAAGTGGCTCGTGAACTGAGATTGATGAGCTAAGAAATCAAGTTCAAGCGAGCCCCGACATAACTTGTTAGCTTGTGAGCAAATTTGTTTAAGAAATAATTAATATAAATATTTTTTCAAAATATATTAAAATTCAAATTTTTACCTTTAAATTATTGAAGATATTTAAAACATTGTTATTTTATATTTTATATCAAGTGATTTCTTTTTTATTATTTTTTAAAAATTATTATTCTATTTATCATTTTATTGTAATACTAGTTTGAATTAATATTATTTTTTCTCTTTCATACTAAATAATAAGGGACTCTTGAGCTAGCTCACTCATAGATTCAAGCTGGAACTTGAGCTCGTCGAACTAGATTAACTAATCAAGCTCAAGCTAAGGGAAGCTCGACCTTGACTCAACTTGTTTTCACCCCTAAATTATATATGTATATCTTTAATTTTACATAAAAAATAATTCAAACTAGTATAATGGTATGATGCAATTCACCATACCATGTGCATAACGGTACGATGAAATCCACACCATCAACCGCATGTCCCATAAAACCAAATATAATGGCAGCTCCCCTCCTACTGACCCTACTCATCTCCACCACCACCCATCATCGATTACAGAACCTCAAAAACAAAAACCGACCAAACTAATCAATCGATGAACCATGTACACTAAACAAGGCTCTAGTTATTCGAGCAGAGAACTAACATCTATTATTGTCGACTCTCTTGCTACATTCTCATAAAAAGTTGTTAGAGTAAGGAGTGTAGAGTGTAAATAATGGGAAAAAGAAGAGGGTTGCGAGGAGACAGAGATTAATACAACCGTGCATTGGAGCTCCATGTAAAGGTGGAGATGAGGGTGTTCAATATGATATAAAATATTGCATTCGGTCGTCTGCATGTGTAGAAGATCAATCATCAAGCGCTAGTTCGGCTTGGTATTGCACCACCTCAACGTGTATGCTGCGGTGTCGCTCAGCTGTTGATCTTCCACAGACGACGAACAAAATACTTTTCATTCAACCGGGCGAGGATGACCATGGTTTGGCTTGGAGGGTAGATGATTTGAATGTGGGGGATGGGAGAAAGGATGAGGGTTATATTGTGAGTGATTAAGATGGAAAAATTATTACATGCGGAAAATCCGCACGTACTTTTGCGGCCGGAATGAGCAAAAAGAAAGAAAGAAAGAAATAACAACAACTCTTCAAATATTCCCAATCTTAAGGAAAAATTATTACATGCGGAAAATCCGCACGTACTTCTGCGGCCGGAATGAGCAAAAGAAATAAATAAATAAATAACAACTATTCAAATATTCCCAATCCTAATTAAAACATGAACCTTCAACACCCAATCATGACTAAGAAAATATAGCTCCATAGCTGCACCTCAATAGACCTCACCCAAAACTATAAACAATTTATTTATTACACACAAGTGCATTCTTCTGAACTATAATTGTTGAGAGTATTTACATCAAAATGTAAGGGTTGGAAGCCAAAATAGCCACTTACATCTCAAGAGCCATCCTCCAAGGTTGAAAAAAATACACATCTTTGCATTGAATGAAGAAGAAGAAGAAGAAGAAGAAGAAGAGAAGAGAGAAGATACAAAATTATATAGTTCTATTCACAGTGGAGAAAGAATGAGCAGCAGCTTATTAAAGCAAATTTAAGGAAAAGGGGGCATTTTACATACATACCACCAAATTCCCATGAATTTACATATCTAACACCTAAACTACACTTTATATAGTTATTCCACCGAAATCTTTCGTATCACATCAAAAATATCACTATTCTGGCTTTTAAACAGTGAAATACACATTTTCACGCATGGCTAAGGCGCCATATATGTAAAAATTGAATTTTTAGGTGTTAGATATGTAAATACATAAGAATTGAGTTGGGCGTACGTAATATTCCAAAAAAAATAAAATAAAAAACAGGAGGACTGGTGCAGTTCTCATGAGAACCATTTCTTCTCTTTCTTTACTGATTTAAGCTGCATGACCAACTCTTCCCTCTGGGCTTCAACTTCAGCATATTGCAGGCTCATGTGGAGGTAGCGCTCTCTCATCTCCTTCAGCTCAGTTTCTAAAGATGATATTTTGTTGGACTGATCAGCTTTTGCAGCAATCCCCCCATCATCACTGTAATTGCAATTTTCTTCTTTTCTATTACTTCGTTTCTCAGACAGTAATCTGCAAAAAAGCCCACAGAAATGTAATAAAATAAAAGTCAAGTTTTGATTTTTATAGCTATCATGATGATATGGTCATATGGATATCAGCAGTAAATGTAAGAAACAAGGCATCCAGATAGAAAAGCTGAAAACTTTCTTGGAAGTTAATATAAATTGAGAAATTTACATACATACCCCACAATTCTTTGAGATTTACGTGTCTACCACCTAAAGTTTCACATTTATATTCACAGTATTTTGGTATGATAAATCCATGCATGAAAATGTATATTTAATTTTTTTAGAAGGAGATGATAGTAATATTTTTGATGTGATATTACAGATACGAGCGCTATGATGTAAATATTAAAGTTTGGGTGTTAGATCTATAATTCGTGTAAAATCATGCCTCTCTCTCTCTCCTCTCTCTCTCTCTTCTCTCCTCTCTCTCTCTCTTCTCTCTCTCTAATAGAGAGAGAGAGAGAGAGAGAGAGAGTTGGGTGATATTAGTTTAGGTGTTAGATATGTAAATGCAAAGGAATTGAGTGGTATGTATGCAAAATCTTCCAACTTAAAAATATCAAACTATAAATGTGAAGTCATGAGCTTAAAGAAAGTAAACAAACTTAGTTGCATTAAAAACATAAAACCAGTGCTGTTATTTAATTTAATATTTTCATTTTATTTTAACTAAAATGACTTGCCCGTTAATTTGCATCTGATAACTGTTATTTGCCTCCAGAGCCTCGGCGAGCTCAGTTTGCAAAGACTGGATCTTAGACTCGAGTGCGGCTTTGGTTTGCGCTTGAGGCCTCTCCATGTTTCCATTCGGTTCATTTTCGACCTTCAAAACAAGTGGGGAGACAATTTCATAGGTCAACAAATTTGAAAAAAAAAATAAAAGAAATAAAGAAAAATTTACATACATTCCACATAATTCTTATGTATTTACACATTTAATACTTAAACTTTTATATTTACATTTATAGCACTTCGGAGTCAAACTTATGAATGAAAAGGAGTAAAAGGTGATATTTTTGATCTGATATTAAAGATTTCAGTGCTATACATGTAAATATGAAAGTCTAGTGATTAGATAGTAATTACATAAGAATTGTGTGATGGCATGTATGTAAATGCTCCAAAAATTAAAACTTGGAAAAAAAAAAAAAAAACTTAGATCAACTGCAAGCTAGGAATTCTATGATGTCACACAGAACTAGTTTAAGAGAACATGTGATGGCTTGGTCCATATAAGTATTATCCAGACATTTATAGTGCTTATAACTAAAAAGCATAATACATTAATATCTATAATGCAACGACCTCCGTAATAATAAACATATCATGTCAAACATTTGCCCTTGCCCGAAACTCGTTCGACGCGTGTTGAAAATGCCATTTACTTCCTTTTTTTTCAATTTTCACATTTGACGAGGTCATTATACGATATTCCCGACCAGCAAGTATGTAAGTCTAGGCTTGTATCCTCTCTACTACATTAAGAAAATAATCAGAGTTTTCTTTTAGTCACACGCAGCGCAGTTGTAACCATCATTTTTTATATCATCTATACTATTTGGAGGAGATTTCAAGGCTTATTTAATCTTATAAGTTCTCCTAGAATGAGATAACATATAATTGACGATAAGAACGACGCGTGACTAAATAGATTGAAGGTAACGAAGACTATGAAAATTTGAATCAGCGGATCTTGATCGAGGCCATTATACCTTTCAATAGGCTAGTCCTCTCGTTCCTTTTCTTCATCGAAGAGCGGTTACATGGCATTGCGAGTCCAATCTTGGGCATCTCCCTTTAGTCTATGTGGGATTATAAATCCCTCATTCACATCCATTTTGGTGAGTTGAGTCTACCCTACTAGACTCATAAGAAATCCAATCCATTCATCCTCTATAGAGCCCTATAGTGTTCATTCTATCTCTGACAAAACCAGTCCTATCGAAGTTCTATCCAGACCGAACATAAGTATCAAATTCTTAATCGAAAGTGTTCTCGGATATGCCCAATAAGTGATTAACCTTACAAACTAGCTCCTTTGAGAAACCTCGGCCCCGAAAGTTAGAATAGGCCTTCTTTAGAGCTACATTCTTTGTAAGAAAAAATTGGACGATACTTTCAATCCACCTTCTATTGATCCCTGGGAGCTTATAAAATGCATTGATTATGCTATATGATTAATCCTCTATTGTAGCACTGCAAAAACCTTTCAAAGTCTCTATCGACACTCTACTTTAGTCCACAAAAACATGGCTTGTATGCCATAAATTTATGTCTTTGCTTATCCTTGGTTTGATCTCCATTGTGAAGCGTGTTGTGAGAAACTACTACGAAAAAATCTCCTTCTAGTTTCACCGCGAAATAGAATCATGGGATACGAGCTAATCGGAACAATAAATTAAGCACATAAGCAAAATTAAAACAACCAAAAAAACACACGATGATTCTACATAGAAAAACCCGATAACGGGAAAAAATCACGGAGCCACGCAACCACAAATTCACTATGAAAATCAGATAGTTTTACAAAGGATTACAAAGAGCACACTCAAGTTTCTTCTTCACGCTCACACAAAAAAACTTGCAGGACGCTCCACAATCTTCCTTCTCCGATCCGACTCGAACAACACATGCCGAGATTCCAGAAATTCTACCCCAACTTTGCCCTCCTTAACCAGGAACTTGTTGAAGAACACCCGAAGAAGTCTTAAAAATAAACAATAAAAAAATGATTTCAAGCTAATTCGATTCTAGTTTGAATCTTGAATCAGCTTAAAATCTAGCAAATTTGAGACAAGCTCACTAAAAATCGATTTAATTTGAGCTATGAACCAATTTCAAGCTTGTACTAAAATAGTTTTTAATTGGATCATTATCACCCAATGAACTAGTTCCACTCAGTATAAAGAACAACAAAAAGAAAGATGGTAAATTTTGATTGATAAAATATATCTTAAATTAAAAAATTATAATATCAGCCTGAAGAAAACAAAATCTAGATGAAACTAAATTGGTTGGATAAACTATTAGAATCAAAATCAGAATTCAGGTATTCATACTACTCACCTTGATTGATACTTTCTCCTCTAGCCTTTCCTCTTCTCTCTGAGCTAGTAAAGCTTTCTGCAGAACTGAAATCTTTTCTGAAAATGATATTTTCTCTGCCTTCAATTCTTCACATTCTTCAGATACCGAGTGCAAAAGGCCTTCCAGTTTCTCTCTTTCACACTTTTCCTCCTCAAGAGAACTTTTAAGATTCAAAATTTCATTTTGAAATTGTGTTACCTTCTGATGTTGAAGTTTTAAGCCAGAAACAACCTCATTTATTTGCTGTTTTTCATAATCAGAAGCTTTTAGCTCTAATTCGAGTTCATTCACCATTCTTTTGAATGTTTCTTCACTAGATTTAAAAGATTCTGCCATTCTTTGCATACGTTCAACATCATTCATCAACATTTCCTCATTAAGTTTTGATGCATTTAGCGAGTTTACGAGCTCCACAATCTTGTCGTTAGACTCTCGTGTGAGATTATGAAGCTCAGTTTCGTACAACGTGACTTTGGATTGAACTTCATGGAGATCGTTCTCGAGTTTATTTTTGTTCGAGCGAAGGATCGAAACTTCTCTAACAGCATCTGCTGATAATTTTTCTCTTTCATCCTGGGATGAGCAAACCTGTGTAGAAAGGTGACAAATTTCTTGTTTGAGGTTCTCAACTTCCACCATCTGTTCATAATTTATCTGTTTTAGCATAACATTTGCCTTATTTATTTTTTGCTCTTGATCCTTACTCTCTTGAAGCATGCTCTCCAGCTGTGAAACTAGACTCTCCTGCTTCAAAGTAAAATCACTATGTAGCAAAGAAAGTTTTTCTTCCAAAACCACAACTTTGTTCAGATTTCCAGAAATCTGCTCTCTTAAATCCCTTAACACAACCTCAAGACGACAAATTTGTTCATGCATTTCCATTTTTTGCCTCCGTAAATCCTCAGATTGCTTCTTTAATAAACTGCACTCTTCTGTAAGGCTCTCAACTGTAGATTCTAGTTTTGAATGAGATCTCTTCAGGACTTCTGATTCCTCTTGAGCTTCAACTAATCTTTTCTGAGCATCTTGGAGCATTTTTTTATGTTCAACTTTCAAAATTTCCATCTCCGCTCGCTCCTGTGCTATTTCATCCTTAAGATCCACTATTTGAGACATATAATCTTCAATTTCCAACCTTCTGGTTTCTTTCTCATCTCTCATGTACCTTAGCTTAGCTTCCAAGCCAGATATTCGTTCAGATAACTGTAAATTATCTGCCTCCAACTGTGATACGAGTAAATCCTGTTCTTGGTTTCTTATTTCAAGTTCTGATGATTTCCTCTCAAACATCTTTTTGACAGACAAATGAGTATCCATATTGCCACTTAGAATTATCATCTCATTTCTCACATCATCCAAACATTTGGAAGAAATTATGTTTTCCCTTTGTGCAACAGCTAAAGTTTCCTCCACCTCAATCTTTTCTCTTTTGATTCTGGAAATGACATCTTCTAATTCCTTCATGGAAGTTTCTAAAGTATCAATTTCCTTCTCTTTCAGTAAGAACTCAGCCTCGAGCTTTGCGTTTCTCAATTTCAACTCTTCTACCAAATCATTTTTTTGATGTTCTTTGAAAGCATCATCATCTATGGTACGAAAATCTGTTGTAATGATCGAATTTTTCTTAAAATTCTGGAGTTCGATCTCAAGTTCAGCACATTTTTTCTTCAAATCATCCATCTCCAATGTGGATTCTGTAATAATGATTCCATTCAAATCCTTCCTATGAAGCTGTTCTTCAGGAAAGCTTATTTGATATTGAAGTTGGTTAATGTTAGATCCAGACTCCTTTACCTCTTTGACATTCTTTTCTAATTCCTTGAGCTTATAAATGAGCTCCAGATTTTCTTCTGTAAGTTCAGTACAGTCCCTCTCCAGCTCCTCCAATTTAGCTTTTAAAACTTCAATTTCTTGAATTAAATCTGAGTTTAATTGATTCAACACCATCTCCATGGAATTTGGAGCATCATTTTGCTCTTTTTGTGGGCTTTCTTCCACCTCAGCATCCATTACTGTCTGATTTCCTGTTTCTGCTCCATTTTCAGATATAGAACTAATTTGGGAAAGGTTTGCTAACTCCAATCTCTGTTTCTCTACTGTTTCTTCCAGTTCTTCAAGTATGGAAACAAGTTCTACATTCGCTTCTTGAGATTTATTCAGCTGCATGGTTAGGGTACCATTGGATTCTCTCAAGAACATCAACTCGTCTTCCAGTTGCCTTTGCGCGCGCATCATATTTTCAGTATTACAGTTTTCTTTGTCCCCCAGAATTCGCTTCAATTCCGTCACGGACAATCTCAGTTGATCAACTTCGCTCTTTAAAGAATCACGCTCGTTGTTGGCGGCAGAAAGCTCCATATCGGCCTCTGCCTGCTGTTTCGATTTGAATGAGCAGTCTCTTTTCAGTTTTTCGAGTTCAATTTTCAACTTCTGTGCATGCCGTTCCCACATCCTAGCCTCGTCTCGGAGCTCGTCGATAGTTTCTTCTGCAGCTTCGAGGAGTTCTTTGGTGGAGCCTGACGTCCTGAGCTGCAAGCCGGAATGGCCGTGCGGAGCGGTCTGCGAGGTAGGCTCCGGCCATTGAGGCGGAATGGAAGATCCTGAAGCTCTGGAATTAAAGGATGATGGATTTGATCGATTAAGATCGTCGACCGGACCAGCGCTAGAGGTTGCGCTGGCATGAGAATCAGCAGAATCTTGTCGTACGATATGCGAGCCACCGTTGACGCTGCTTTTAGGAGAAAAATTCGTTCTTCCGGCAGAGTTCTCCATTGAGTCGGAACTAGAATGTGAAACTGATGCTAAGGAAGCCGCGTCCTGCACAAAGAATTAATTCACCATGAGCTGCACAATGAAGATTCTATTAATATACTCCACTAGCCCCCATGGCGAACTCTTTATGAAAGCAAAATGGGGCATTTACATAGATACCAACCAATTCCTATGTATTTACATATCTTACACCAAAATTTTACCTCTTACATTTATACCACCCAATATCATATCTTTTAATATACAAGTAACTGGTATGCATGTAAAACTTAAAGTTTAGGCATTAGATATGTAAATACATCGGAATTGAATAGTATGTATATAAATCTTCCAAGTAAAATATAGAGGGCATAAAATTGAGTGAAGTTTTTCATGTGAATAATGGCAAAACTGGGAATAATGTATGATGGGATTGTGGCTTCAGATGAATACCCATGACAACAATAATTGTAAAAGAATAAATTCCCTCCATATTTCATCATAAAACATAGACAAATGTGTAAGGAATTCATGCAATATTGTATTTTACATATGGATCCCCAAAAGGCACCTTCTTATCTGCATTTATCCATTTTCATGGGATATGTAAATAAGTAATGTTTTACCCAACAAAAATTTAACACCAATTTCACAAATAAGAGACGAGATAAATCAGTTAATAAAGAAGAAATATGGAATTTTTGGTCTAATGAAATGTAGGGAAATTTACATACATAAAACACAATTCCTTTTTATTTACATATCTAAAAGCTAAGGTTTGATATTTACATTTATAATCCTTTGGTATCAGGAATCTATACATGAAAAGATGTCCTTCACTTTTAAAAAGTTAGTATTAGTGGTATGTTTGATGTGATACTAAATATTAAAGTGTTAGGTAAGCAAATATGAAAGTTAAGATGTTAGATATGTAAATACATAAGAGTTATGTGGCATGTATGTAAATGTCTCTAAAATTGAGTTCTCTCAACTCATGTGACAAAAACCTCTGGCAGGCAGGTCTCCTTACACCAGTGTTAGATCAAGATTCCAAATGGTGAATTATATCATTGTGTTTTCTACTAAGTTGAGTATTAATTGGTTTATTAATTGTGTTTTCTACTAGCTTTTTACAAGTTTTTCTGCTAAATTGTCGTGTCAATCTTAACCATCGTAAAATGTTATGTTTGTCTCAAATTTATTATAGAATTTAGAATTGTAATGTCTTTTAATAAATCAATTTTTTTACATAAACAAGTGATAAATTTTTACTTAAATTGAAAGTTGGAGCATTGTGAACTAGGGTTTAGGGTTTAGGGTAAATTGAAAGTCGGGGCATTGTGATTTGTGATCTTTCGCGTGTTTTGTACCACATCTTATACAAGATTTGTGATAGTAAGCGCTAAATCCTAAGACATCCTATACAATCAACATCCTAAACTAAGCATTATTATTAGCTTAATAATAGGTTCATGAAGTTTATCATCAAGCCGACATGATATTCACTTTATCTTAAAATTTTCTCATAGATGCGTCATCGTTTAATTTGGTAAAACAATATAACAAAAGTTATATTTTCACCTATATAATTGTGCTTCAAAGTAATAGATCCACATTTTTTTTTAAACTAACACAACTAATTATAAATCTTTGTAGCCGACTCCACTTTGTGGAATAAAGGCTTGTTATTGTTGTACAACTAATTACAACTCTATGATCTAATAATCTTAGTACATAATCAATAAAAGAATGTCCAATAGAATTGCATATCAAATATAGCCTTTCTTCTTTAAATTTTAAGTCCATAATCTTCCAAAGATTTTCCCATTTGTTCTAAATGTCTACTTGATTTAATAGAGGTATTAACAATTAGAATTAGTTCATCTGCAAAAGCATACACTAAGATACCTAACTTTAAATATCATTAAGAAGTATTCCCATAACCAATACAAAAAAAAACATTAATGTTAATTCAATCCTTATGTAAATCTACAATGAATGGGAACTCTATCACTCCACAATTACTTCTAAAACTCATCATTTTTTTTATGATGCACATCTTTAAAAGCTATTAGCACACCTCTGAAATACACTTTTTTTCTTTAATGAATATCAAATCAATCCTCATAATACGCTATCATATGCCATCTCAAGATTCATAAAAACTTAAAAAAATTCTTTCTTTGCTCCCTATGTTTCACATTTATTATCATAATACAAAAATCACATCCATAATACATGATTCTTGCGCAAAATAAAACCGATTATTTCATTTCAAATATTCCATTAACCTCTCCCACAACTTCATTGAATGACACAATAAATTTGATCCCAATATAAATGGAATAATTTTGAACATCACTTTTGTAAATACAGGTACCAAAAATGCTTTATTTTCAATCATTTTGCATCATTTTAGTCTTACAAAATCAATTAAAAATATGGGTTTACCGAACTACTACAATATCACTTATAACTCTAAATAACTCAATAAGCATCTCATATGAACCCAAAGATACATACATACATACATATATATATACATACATATATATATATATACATATATATGTATGTATGTATATATATATATATATATATATATATGTATATATATATATATATATATATATATGTATATATATATATATATATATATATAT